CTTTATGCCTCAGCCTTCCAAGTAGCCGGAATTACAGGCATGCGCTACCACACCCGGCTGATTTTTTGATTTATTGTAGAGATGAGGTCTTGCTGCCCAGGCGGGTCTCGAATCCGCGGACTCAGGCAATCCACTCACCTCAGCCTCCCAAAGGTGCGGGATTACAGGCTGAGCCACCGAGCCCGACTTGTCACTATATATTCTTAACCCAGCAAGTATTAAATTTATATTGATTTCCATTTAATTTACCTGTGAAGGAGCTTGAGGGATCCTTAGTTTATACTCATCTGTTCAGCTACAATAGAAGGAACAAAAAGTTGATTTTTTAAAAATCACCTTTTTTTAAAGCAGGATTTATTGAGAGGACAGAAAATCTCCCACAGTGGGAGGGGACCCGAGGGGGTTCCCCAAAAGTTTGATTTTTTAAAAAAAATTATGTTTAACCAATGTATTTATTTATTTATTTTATTTTATTTTTTTGAGTTGGAGTCTTACTCTGTCACCCAGGCTGGAGTGCAGTGGCACGCTCCTGGCCACCACAGCCTCGACCTGCTGGACTCTGGTAATCTTTCCACCTCAGCCTTCTAAGGGGCTGGAACTACAGGCGTGCACCACCATGCCTGGCTAATTTTTGATTTATTGTAGAGATGAGGGCTCGTTAAGTTGCCTGGGTGGGTCTTGAACCCACAGGCTCAGGCACTCCACTCACCTCAGCCTCCCAAAGTGCTAGGATTACAGGCTGAGACACCAAACCTGGCCAACCAATTTATTTTTAACAATGTTGAGCCCCTACTGTGTTCTTGTGATGTTTTTGCTAGATTATTAGCTGTATTTGATATTAAGCAAATATTTTGCTCTTAGCATGTGTAGACATTACCGAAAATTATTTTATTTATATAAAATTTTCTTTGATATGTATTTCTGGGTAATTTAATCAAATATAATGTTTTAATTGATTTCTGTTATATGTAAGTATGGCATACATATTTAAATTTAATTTAAAATATAACTATTAGATATTTTATGGTGGTGCCTATTTTATCTAGGTTCTTTAGAAAGTGAATTTCCATCTAAGTAATTTTTCTGTAGATGTAGGAACAATCCTTTCTAAATTCCAAGGTTTTTACTTTGGCACTTTGAGAAAGATATTAAGAACATTTTACCTTACTTTGTTAAACAGTGTGTGCTGAATATAGTTTAGGATTCTTATGATTATTATTGTTCATTATTATGAGTATCAGTTATACTATTATTGTACAGTAATGCCCTTAGGGCTCTGAAGCATTTTTTTTTTTTTGGTTTTTTAATTTATTTCTCTTTGAATAAGACTCTTGACTCCCGTGCTTTTCATGTACTAAGTCTGCTTTTCACAGATTTTCTCCTTTCTCTGTCCCTCTTAGATTGCAGCTTATCATTTCATTCTAGCATATTGGCTTCCAAAACCCCTTTCTCTTCTGAACTTACTGCTTACTGGGCTGCTGTAACTTTAAAACAACTGAACTTATTCAAATTTTGCCTGTAAGAGGAAAAGGATTCTGGGTGAGAGCCTGAGGTATAGGCATGTCATTTATACTTGGAAGCCAAATAGGGACTTCAGATTTACTGCATCTAATAAGGTGAAATCCCAATCCTGCTCCTCCTGTGGTCTTTCAGTTGATGGCCACCATTTCCATTGATGACCACCCTCATCCCTCCAGTGCTTAGACTATATACCTTGCAGTTTCCCTTGACTCTTCTCTTCCTACCACACTCCATATCCAGTCTGTTAAGAAATCTCATTGAGTCTTCCTTCAGAAGATATCCTGAATCTGACCAATTTTTAGCACTTCCATTGCTACCCTCCTGGTCCAGGCCATCATCATCTCTGGCCTGGTTAAATGCAAGAAACTCCTAACTTATCTTAATTTCACCCTTAATTCCACTACGGCCTCTTCCCAACACAGCAGTCCAGGTGATCCTTTCAGAATATAAAATGTCATAGTTCAGAACCCTCCAATGCATTCCCCATATCACTCAGAGTAAATTATCTACCAGCTGTTGCATGATTCCCCTACCACCACACCTCTGGCCTCACTGCCCACCACCCATCCCTCCTTCTCACTTCACTTCACTTCACCACACTGGCCTCCTTCGTGTTCCTCACATACGCCAGGCACACTTTGAGAGCCTTGATACTGATATTCCTGGCATGTTCTTCCTCTAGCTGTCTATTTGGCTTATTCCCCCACTTCCTAGTCTTGGCACAAATGAGGCCTGTCCCCATCCTATTTTAAGTAGTATTTCTGATTCCCCTTACCCTGCTATTTTTACCCACATGTATCATATATTCTTATTTTCTTATGTTTATTTAATCAGTTTCTCCTCATTAGAATGTAATAGACTTCACGAGGGCAAGGATCTTTAATTTTTTGTTCAATGTTATATCCGTGCCTAGAAAAGTACCTGGCACATAGTGAGTGCTTAATAATAAATATTTAGTGAATGAATGAGTTGTAATCTATAGACTTAATGAATTTTTGTAATTAACTTGGAACCTTTTTCTGTGGCTTATTAATTTTATTCCAGATATTCGAGTTTGCTTGATAAATGGCATAAATATATAAAGAGATAATACATCTAATCTTGCATGTATGTTAAGTAATAAATTGAATGCTAACCTTATACTAATTTTTTATGAAACATTTTAGAGTTTAATCACTTTAATTCTTTAATGTTTTTTTCTGTTTTTCATTGAAATTTAAAAACAACATAAACCTGTCTGTCATTATTGCTATGTTAGAGAGCAAAATATTCCTAATTTGATTTATTTTTGTATTTTGCTGATAGACACACTCTGTGCAGTTTTAGAAAGAGACACACTCAGTATTCGAGAAAGTCGACTTTTTGGAGCTGTTGTACGCTGGGCAGAAGCGGAATGTCAGAGACAACAATTACCTGTAACTTTTGGAAACAAACAGAAAGTTCTAGGAAAAGCACTTTCTCTAATCCGATTCCCACTGATGACAATTGAGGAGTTTGCAGCAGGTAAGGCTATAACTTCACTAGAATCTATTTTAACCTATTTTAATAATTTGTCAGTCCTCCTGTGCCAGAAGGGGAAAGAAACTGTTATTTATTATTAGTCACATGATAAACATATATATGTGTGTGATTGTGTGACTTCATGTAACTGTCGTATCTGCCCTTCAAGATAATATCCACATCTTATAGTTTTGAGAAGTGAGCTTGGGAGAAGTTGAGTGCCTTGCCCAAGGTTATGACAGATCTTTGACTCTTAAGATTGATGCTTCTGATTAAAATCAGACAGACATAGTTTTGAATCTCTGTGAGCAGTTATGACCAGTTTTCATTACTAATACCATCATTGACTAGTATCTGCTTTTAAATCATGGCCAGGTTGGTTTTTGTTTTTGTTTTTGTTTTTGTTTTTTTGGGCTACTGTGTCTGGCTGAATTGTATTTCTTTGTTTATTGGGCATTTATATTTTTTTCTTAACAATATGCATGCCTTTTGTTGTCCTATTATAGAGTATTCAAATTTTTCTTGCTGGTTTATTGTGTATTGATTCATCATGTATTATATATTCAAATTTTTCTTACTGATTTACACTTGTTCCAGTTTTCTCCCAGATTGTTTTTATTCTTGCTAATCAGAATCAGTTTGCTTTTTCTTTTTGTAAATGTTTTAAATTGAAGTTTAATATCTATATAGTAAAATGAATAAAGTGAACATACCTTGTTTAACCACACTTAAATTAATTTGCAGTACATTTCTTATACCCCAGAAGTCTCTGTGATGCCCTTATAAGTCATTAATCTCCCTCTCAGAGGTGCCTGCTTCTTTTATAAATTAATTTCGTTCTTAAACTTTGTGTAAAGGAAACCATACATACAATGTATGTATTCTTTTTTGCGTGTTTCCTTAACTTTGGTGGCTGTTAGATTCACCTATGCGGTTGAGTGTGACAATAACTCATTCTTTTTCATTACTTTGCTGTATAATACTCTTTTGTAATGTGCCATGATTTATTTCTCTATTTTACTGTTGTTGGACATTTGGGACCATTGAGAACATTCTTGTACATGTCATTTGTTGTACATACATAAACCTTCCTCCTGGATATATATGAGTGGAATCGCTAAGTCATAGAGTGTGCATATGTTCAGCATTAGTAGATCCTGGCAAACAGTTCCCCAAGGTGGTTGTAACAATTCACACTCAGTAGCAAAGTTAAGAGTTAAGAATTCATTTTAGTTGTTCACATCCTCTCCAGTACTTGGCATTGTTAGTTTTTGTAGTTTTAGCCACTTTTGTGACTATAAAGACATATTGCACTGTGGTTTTTAATTTTGTGTCTCTGATGATTAATGATGTTCATCATGCCAATAATTTTTTAATCCAATTTGACTTTTATTTGAACTATTTGGTTCACTTACATTTAATGTAATTACTGATGCATTTGGACTTATAGTTACCATCTTGCACTTTGTTTTCTACTGGTCATATCTGTTTTTTGTTTATTTTTTCTTTCTTGCCTTCTTTTAGAGGACTCAAGTTATTTTTATTATTTATTTTTTGAGATAGTGATATAGTATTCCCCTTTATTCTGTTAATATAGTGAGCTACATTAATTGATTTCCCAATTTAAACCTATTTTGGATTCCTTACATAAACCAGACTTGGTTGTCCTGCATAGTCCTTTTTATATATTTGCTAAACTTTTTTAGTATTTTTATGACTAATTAATGAGAGAATTAGTCCATAATTTTTTTTTTCTTGTAATTGAGTTGACAGAATTGACCTCATACAAGAGTTAGGAATATTTCCCTTTTTTTCCCCAAGAGTTCAAGAATTTGTATTATTTTTTCCAAGAATCAACTTCTGGCTTTATTAATTTTCTCTGTTGTAGTATGTTTTCCATTTTATTACTTTCTGCATTTTTCTTTTTGTGTGTGTGTTGTTTTGAGTTGGAGTCTCACTCTGTCACCCAGACTGGAGTGCAGTGGCCGCTCCCGGCCACCGCAGCGTCGACCTGCTGGGCTCTGGCGATCCTTCCACCTCAGCCTTCCGAGTAGCTGGAACTACAGGCGTGTGCTACCACGCCCGGCTAATTTTTTGATTTATTGTAGAGATGAGGTGTCTCGCCTGCCCAGGCGGGTCTTGAACCCGCGGGCTCAGGCAATCCACTCACCTCAGCCTCCCAAAGGCGCAGGATTACAGGCTGAGCCACCTTTTTGAATGTATATATTTAAGACTATAATTTTTCCTCTAAGCATTTTTCACCCTCACCATTTTTGGTATGTTGTATTTTTATTATCATTCAATTTAAAAATTCTAATTTTCATTTTTTTGTTTCTTTGATCCATGGGCTATAAATATATAGCTTAATTTTTCAAGTATTTAGGGTTTCTTTTTACCTTACTCTTACTGATTTCTGGCTTAATTCCAGTATAGTTAGAGAATACATTCTGTATCCTTGAGCCCTTTGAAATTTGTTGATATTTGCATTATGGCAGCATATGGTCAGTTTTATTAAACATGCATATTTGAGAAAAATATATTCTTAGTTATTGGGTGCAGATAAATCTGAATAGTCCTGTATCTGTTCAACAAATCAAATAATTCTTTATCTATGAAAGGAATATGCTAATAATGCTGTGTGCATTTTCTGTATATTTATTCATTTATTTTTATCTGTTCCATCAGTTACTTGCAAGTAGATTAAAATTCCTGGTTTTGCTGGAGTTTTTTTGTTTGTTTGCTTTGAGTCAGGGTCTCACTTTGTCACATAGGATGTAGTCAATGGCACAATAATAGCAAACTGCAGCCTCAGCCTCCCAAGTAGCTGGGACTACAGACTCACACCACCATGCCTGGTTAATGTTTTTAAAGTTTTTATAGAGACGAGGTCTCACTGTGTTGCCCAGGCTGGTCTCAAACTCCTGTTCTCAAGCATTCTTTCCACCTCAGTCTCCCAAAGTGCTGAGATTACAGGCATGAGCCACTCTGTTCGGCCAGTTTTTACTTTATCTAGTTTGAGACTATATCATTTGGTGCATTCAAATTTAGGGTTGTTATGTTTCTTATTGAATCCACTTTTATGTGCTATATCCTACTTTAAATCTATTAAATTTATTTTAAAGTCTTTGTCTGGTATTGGTATAGTTTCACTAGCTTTTCTTTTAGTAGTTTTTTTTTTTTTTTTTTTAAATGTTGCCCAGGCTGGTCTCAACCCCTGGGCTTAAGCAGTCCTCTCACCTTGGTCTCCCAAAGTGTTGGGATGGATTACAGGCATGAGCCACTGCGCTTGGCCAATTTTTATATTCTATAAATCCTTTCCCATCCTTTTACTTTCAACCTTTCATTGTCTTGGTATTTTGAGTATGTCTCTTGTGAAGTGCATTTAAAAAAAAAAAACTCTAGCCAGGCTCGGTGGCTCAGCCTGTAATCCCGCGCCTTTGGAGGCTGAGGTGAGTGGATTGCCTGAGCCCATGGGTTCAAGACCCGCCTGGGCAGGCGAGATCTCATCTCTATAATAAATCAAAAAATTAGCCAGGCATGGTAGTGCGTGCCTGTAATTCCAGCTACTCGGAAGGCTGAGGCGGAAGGATTGCCGGAGCCCAGCAGGTCAAGGCTGCGGTGGCCAGGAGGGGCCACTGCACTCCAGTCTGGGCGACAGAGTGAGACTCCAACTGAAAAAACAAAAAAAAACAACTCTGATAAACTTTGCCTTCTACTTGGGATATTTGATTCACTTTACAGTTAATATAATCACTAGTCTATTTGGACTTATATTTACTATTTGTTTTCCATATTAAAAATTTTAAATTAAGTTTTTCCACATAATGCAAGGACCTTATTGACACTTTGACTACATTTAACCTTCTTCAGCCATTGGGGTACTCTTTCACACATTTTAATTTTCTGTATGTTTTAAATCCCAAACATTATAGTTGTTTTAAAGATCAATAATCATTTAGATTTATCTATATATTTGCCTTTTTTGGTACTCTTCTTTTTTTCCTGAATGACCAAGTTTCTATCTGGGATGATTTCCATTAGCCTGAAGAATTCCCTTTAGTATTTCTTTTGGAACAGGTATGATACTAACCAGATTCTCTTAACTCTTTTTTCTTTTTGTCTAAAAGCATCTTAACCTTTTTTTTTTTCTTCAAGAAACAGAGTCTTGATATGTTGCCCAGTCTAGAGTGCAGTGGCTATTCACAAGCATAATCATTGCACACTACAGCCTCAAACTCCTGGGCTTAAGCAGTCCTCCTGCCTTAGCCTCCTGAGTAGCTGGAACTAGAGGGACATGCCACCATGCCCAGCTTGTCTTCATTTTTGAAAGATATTTTTCTGGCTAGAGAACTCTAGGTTGGCAATTAGTTCCATCCATTATTTGAATGTAATTGTGTTCCCTTTGGTTTCCATTATTTCTATTGAAAAAATTCATTATCTTTAACAGTAGTATATCCTTTTTTACTGGTGCTTTTAAGATTTCACATAATCTTTGGGGTTGTTTTTGCAGTTTGATGATGATATACTTAGGTGCGTCTTCTTATCTGACATACATTCTTGAGTTCTCTAATTTATCCCTCTGTTAACTGGAGTGTATCTTATTTTACTTTTTTTAGGTAGGCACATATCTGGGTATATATCTGAAAATGTTTTTTATGATCTGAAGACTTTTTTCAACTAAGGAAATTTTCTCCTATAAATAACCTTGAATTATTACATCATCCTATTTCTTACTGTCAGTTCTAATGACCTGCAATATTGTTGGTCTCTGCTCTTTATCATCCACATTAATCACCTGAAACATTTTCTTTTTTTTTTTCAACTATTTTCTACCAACTTTTTTTTGGAGTATCTTAAAGCAAATCTCACATATACCGTATTTTATCCAGAAACTATTTTAGTATGTATCCATAACAAATACAGTCTTAAAAATAACTGCACGATGATTATCCCAACTAAGAATATTAACAATAGCTCCTTTATGCCACCAAATACTCAGTCCATGTGAAAATTTCTCTTCTTGTCTCAAAATCATCTTTTTTCTCTTTAAGTTGCTCTTTTTTTTTTTTTAAGGGATGGGGTTCCACTATGTTGCCTAGGCTGTCTTTTTTTTAGCTTTGACTTGTTATTGATTTTGACACTTATATTCTATAATTATTTAATCTCAGATGGACTTATTGAAACTTTAAAATTAAATATATGCTAAAATTATATATGCTAAGATTTTTATTCCTGTTTCTACTTTACATTTTCTAGATTTGAATTTATGTTATTAAGTAGAGTATTCCAAAATTAGGAGTTGAAATCAGATTGCTTTTATTGAGGTTTATATTTTTATTTCTACAGGTCCTGCTCAATCTGGAATTTTGTCAGATCGTGAAGTGGTAAACCTCTTTCTACATTTTACTGTCAATCCTAAACCCCGAGTTGAATACATTGACCGACCAAGATGCTGCCTCAGAGGAAAAGAATGCTGCATCAATAGATTCCAGCAAGTAGAGAGCCGCTGGGGTTACAGTGGAACAAGTGATCGAATCAGGTATCTTTCATACTATGGATTCGGGGTTGAGTGAGGGTAGCAGTTAGCATTTGGGCTTTACCTTCAGATTGTGGGAGATAATTAACCAGTATTTCAGTATACTTTGATTAATACAAGAGGCAGGAAGTCATCGAGGCATTCTGACCTCTCTTTCCTGGATGATGAGTGAGGATGACCTCTCAGGAAAAAATTAAAGCAAGAAAAGATTAAGTTGAGCCTTGCATTATGTGAATTCTGTGTGGATCACTGCTCCTAGTGTGCTGGGTTCTAGACCTTATTTTATCAAACACTGTTTTTATGGGTTTAGGGTTATAATTTAATAAACTCAACCTTACTATGTTTAGTGTAAGGTTTTTTTTGTTTGGTTTTACATTGATGTTGCATGGGGAGTATCTCAGTATACATTTATACAAACTTTGGGGAAAAAAGTAAAGAATCTTGAAAAATGCATGCATACAATCCTGTTGAGGAATTTGCCTTTGCTCTACTGTGTTTCTTTTGGTTAAATGTCAAAATAGAATTGGTACCAGTTTTCACAAAATACGTCTTTTGGATTTTTAGTTATTTAATAGCACTTTAGTATCAAACTAGAAATTAGCTGGGCACAGTGGCTCACATCTATAATCCCAGCACTTTGGGAGGCTGAGGCAGGAGGATTGCTTGAGCCCAGGAGTTGGAGATTGGCCTGGGCAACATAGCAAAACCTTGTCTCTACAAAAAATTTAAAAATTAAAAAAAAAATTAGCTGGGCATAGTGGCACACACTTGTAATCCCAGCTACTTGAGCGGCTGAGGCAGGAAGATCACTTGACCCCAGGAGATCAAGGCTGCAGTGAACCATGATTATGCCACTGCACTCAAGCCTGGGTGATAGAGTGAGACCCCTATTCAAAAGGGGGGAGGGAATATTAGAAATTAAGAACAAGTTTGTTAAAAAATAGAACTATGGTTCAGTGGCGGATGATTACAAATCTTGAATTAAAATGGAAATTAGGGCTGGGTGTGGTGGCTTTCACTTATAATCCCAGCACTTTGGGAGGCCAGAGCTGGAGGATTGCTTGAACCCAGAAGTTTGAAACCAGACTGGGCAACACAGTGAAAACTTGTCTCTAAATAGAAAAAGAATAAAAATTTTAAAAATTTGTAGACTAATATTCATTTACAATAAGAATATCATATATAAAAACTTAAGGGATGAAGCCAAAGCTGCACACAAAGAAGAAGTAATTATTAACTACTTGTAGTAAATAGAGTAGAAATAAATGATTTAAGCATTCAGCCCAGGTAGCTAGAAAATGAATAGCAAAAGAACCATAAGAAAAGAGAAAGGAAATAGGTAAATGTAGAAATTAATGAATTTAAAAGAGTTGATAAATCCATAGCTGGTTCCTTTAAAAAGACCAATAAAACAAATAAACCTTTGGCAAAGTTAATAAACATTCACATTTAGAAATAAAAATGGGAGTATAATCATATGCTGAGTTTTTTTATTTTAATTCTGGGTTTACTCTGTGCTAATAAATTGAACATCTTGATGGAATGGATCATTTTATAGGCAAATATAAATTATCAAAATTGATTGAAGAAGAAAGCCTGAGTAGACCAATTACCATGGAAGGAATTAAAAGTTATCAAAGAACTGTCCCTTCACAAGGTGGTTTTAACAGGTGAGTTTTATCAAACCTCAAGGAACAGATTATTCCTTGAGCATTAAAAGAAGAAAACACTTCTCAGCTAATTATTGAAGGAAGTATGGCCCATATTTAGGAATTTTACAAGATAAAAATACTTCAGATCAGCCTCATATAGAAAAAAATTTATGTAAAATATTAGCATATTGAATCTAGCAGTACCTTAGATGAATAATGCTGTATGAACAAATAGTGTTTATTTTGAGATTGAAAGAATGCCTGCATGTTAGGAAATATATTAGTATAATTCATCATAGTAGCAGATCAAAGAAAAAAAAAATTTGATTTCAATAGATTTCAAAAGACTTTTGCTAAAATTTCACCTTCATTGTAGATATAACTATTAATAGATTAGATTTAGAAGAAACTCAAGATAGGGATGCCTATCCTTGCTGCTTTTCAGCAGTGTTATAATTCTGACTGAGGTAGTCATAAAGGATCAGTCAGAGGCTTGAATATTGGAAAGGAAGAGACCTTTTTCATTGTTTGCCAATGGCATTATGTACATTAGTAGTTTACAACTCCATTAAACCAGGTTGCCCCTTTTTATAATGAATATTTTGTAATTCTTATTGTACTAACCTGAAATGAAATTCATAGATAATATTTCAAACATATCTTTTAAACTGATAAATTACCTTGTAGTACAAAAATAAATCAACTGGTAGTAAAATAAAATGCATAGTTCAATATGTAGACTTTGAGCAGGACAACACTAGAAGACAAACTGCCGTCACCAGTGCATATATGTATCAGCCAGATAGGACAGCTTCAATTGCAGGGTACAGGCATGTTGTGTTTTAATGTCTTAAATACTGTGAGCAGCACTGCTGCCACATCCATTTTATTTAAACGTTGAGATAAAACAGCATCTTAAGTTGATTTTATTAATGCTCTCCATATTTGTGAGCTTGCCGGCTTACTGAAATTTATTTGTAACCCAAAAGTCAATTCTTGGGGCATTTTCTTAGTTATTTTCAGCAAAAGATGTTAGTTGCCAGATCAGCACATTGTCAGCTGAAGTTGAACAAGGTAGGGCTCTGCCTTCCTGTTTCAGCTCTCCCACAAAGGTGGAGATGGGGAGGGAGCAGTGCAACATAGGGCAACAAACTTTGGCTCTTTGGTGGGTTGGATAGGGTTTGAATCCCAGTTCTGGCACTTGTTGGTGGGGCAGCCTGAAGCAAGATGACTTAACACTTTTGAACTCTGCTTTCTATTTTGTAAAATAAAGAAATTAAATATATTAAGATGAGTTGTTTTTAATATTTAAGATTATAATCTATGTGAGGGGTGTGAGAGAGAGAGAGAGAGAGTGTGTGTGTGTGTGTGTGTGTGTGTGTACTTATATATCTATATACAAGGAGACCTCCCCCCAAAAAACAGGATTTATTTATTTTTAAAATGAGTATTTATTCTTACATGTTTAAACTTCAGTTACCTTCAGAGTACTCTTCTCCGTTTGATGCAGTACATTTATTGAGGCACTTTTTCCACTGCTCAAAACAGTTGAACTTGTCGATTTTGATGCCTTTTAGTGCTTCTGCCATTTTTTGTTTCACCTCTTCCAACATCAGCAAAACATTTCCCTTTGAGAACTTATTTCTCCAGGGAAACAAAAGAAAGTCGCTCAGGGCAAGATCAGGTAAATAGGGAGGGTGGGCCATGCCGATTTTTTTGGTCAAAAACTGCTGAGTGGTCAGCATGGTGTGGGCGGGTGCCCTCATAAACCACCCATCATGAAATGGACAAACGCTTTGAAAGAATCTTTAAAAAAAAATTTCACTGAAGCTGAGTGCAGCCTCTCAAAACAACACTAGCTGGTATACTCATGCCAATGGCATTCTAGAACACTAGTGGAGGAAGCCTGTAACACAAGGAACCTTCCTTCCAAAAGATAATTCCAGGGGTTTTTTTGGGGTCCTCCCTTGTATGTATATATTTCTCCTATGAACAGTGGTTTAGTATTTGCTAATTCTGTGTTATAGACTATAACTACCACAAATAATGAGAATTGATTGTATATTTCTTCTTTTAAAATGGTAGTTGCCTGTTATAAAAGTCAAAGAATGCTAAAATTGCCCTAAAAATCTTTGCTTTATAGTTTAAATGGAATGAGATGTAAGACTTGTAGTTATTAATAAATTTTCACCAACATGAATTCTGGCAAGACATTTGAAAAGTTTAGTGAGATTCTTTAGTTATGGGAGACTGTTCTGTGCATTACAGGAAATCTAGTATCCCTGGCTTCTTGCCAGTAATGTCCCTAAACTGTTGTGAAAAGAGAACATGCTTCCTTGGGAGTAGAACTCCTTTTGAGAAAAGCAGGTCTGAATAACCTCAGCAAAAAGACAATTACAATCAATAAAAGAATAGTGGCCACTTGTAAAATGTATATTCAAAAGTTACTGGTGTTTGAGATGCCATCAAAATTCAGTTACATCAATAAATAATGTTTATACAATGATATGAATGTATTTAGTGCCATATATTTATTTTATGTTTACTTTTCCACAATAAAAAAAATTCAACTTGGCAAGACCTCATCTCCACAATAAATCAAAAATTAGCCGGGCGTGGTAGTGCGCGCCTGTATTTCCAGCTACTTGGAAGGCTGAGGCGGAAGGATTGCCGGAGCCCAGCAGATCGAGGCTGCAGTGGCTGGGAGCGGCCTCTGCACTCCAGTCTGGGCAACAAAGTGAGACTCCAACTCAAAAAAAAAAAAAACATTCAGTTATAATTTAGTAAATACTATAATACTGAGTAAAAATAGTATTTTAGTAATATATTGCTATTGTAGTATTATATTACTGTATTACTATATATTTTTATACTATATATTGACTGTTATAGTATTGTGAATAATTCCATTTACAATAGTAATCGATAACATTTAAGTAGTAGAATTAAACTTAGTAAGAAAGTACAGTACAAGCCGGGCTCAACCTGTAATCCCGTGCCTTTGGGAGGCTGAGGTGAGTGGATTGCCTGAGCCCGCGGGTCGAGACCTGCCTGGACAACTTGGTGAGACCTCATCTCCACAATACATCAAAAAATCAGTCGGGCGTGGTAGTGCGCTCCTGTAATTTCAGCTACTCAGAAGGCTGAGGCAGAAGGATCGCTGAAGCCCAGCAGGTCGAGGCTGCGGTGGCCAGGAGCGGCCACTGCACTCCAGTCTGGGTGACAGAGTGAGACTCCAACTCAAAAAAAGAAAGTACAATACAATACATTTATGATGAACTGGATAACTTTGATTAGAGTCAGACTTCGCTAAGGACAGTGTCTTCCAAATTAACCTATGTATGTTTGGAAGCTCCTTTCAAAGTCACATATTTCTGGTAGCGGGGAAGGTCTTGGCAAAATTATTTTAAAGTTAGTCTGAAAGAGTAAATCTTTAAAAGAATGGTACAGATCAAACATGAAAACATATTGTAAAGCTATGAGAAGTTAGTGTTGTCTGAACAGAGATAGAGGTCAGAAACTAACCTAACATAAAGGAACATGTAGAATATTATAAAGAGTAAATCTTTAAAAGAATGGTACAGATCAAACATGAAAACATATTGTAAAGCTATGAGAAGTTAGTGTTGTCTGAACAGAGATAGAGGTCAGAAACTAACCTAACATAAAGGAACATGTAGAATATTATAAAGGAAAGGGAAGGATTAACCACTGGGAAAATAATGTTAGATCCTTACTGATTCCATCTACTAATATTCATGTAAACAAAAATGAAACCTTGAAAATGATGGAACAGTTGAATTTTTTTTATTATGAGGATGAGTTAGGTCTCTCTAAACTTGGCATAGATCATAATTTTGAATACAAATAATTCAAAAATTTTAAGTACAAAATCACCATAAAATTAAAAGATAAGTGACAAATGGGAAACACTTTTAATAACAGACATCACCAACAAAGCATAAATAACTATCATCCATATATAATGTGTCCATTCAAATCTACATTAAAAATACAAACTTCATCAGTTGAGAAAAAAATACATGAGTGATTATTTCAGTAAAGAGGAAATTCAGTGGGTAGTAAGCATATGGGCATATGTTTTACCTTATTAGTCAGAAAAATATAAATGGAATTTGTCAATCATTTCTCAAAGGCAAAACAAAATTAAGCCTTTGGGAGGCTGAGGTGAGTGGATTGCCTGAGCCCGCGGGTTCGAGACTCGCCTGGGCAACTTGGTGAGACCTCATCTCTACAATAAATCAAAAAATGAGCCAGGCGTGGTAGTGCGCGCCTGTAGTTCCAGCTACTCGGAAGACTGAGGTGGAAGGATCACCGGAGCCCGGCAGGTCGAGGCTGCGGTGGCCGGGAGTGGCCACTACACTCTAGTGTGGGTGACAGGGTGAGACTTCAACCCAAAACAAAAAAAACAAAATTAAAATACTCATGGCTGATAAAAATGAGAGAAAAAGAGTCCTTATACTTTATGGGGTATAAGTGTTATCTTTCCAGAAAGCAATCTGGCAATGTTTGTCTAGAGTCTTAACGTTGTGCCATTCATTTTCACCAGCAATTTTGCTTCTAGGAATATATTCTAAGGAAAATAAGTAAGGCTTCATAAAATAATTTAGCTATAAGATTGTCATGTCATTATATAATAATAAAAACTGCAAATAACCTGGACTATCCAATAAAGAATTAGTTAAATATAGTGTAGCATAAGTAAGTTTTTACCATTTTACATGAAAAAGAGACTACAAATATATTCTATTTTTAAAAAGAATACATATATGTTCATAGGAAACAAAAAAGAACTGTAAAGTATTAACAAGGGGTATCTGGATTTGTGGATGCTTTAAATTTTTCTTGTTTGTTTAGCTGCCTTTTCCAATATTTTTAAACTGAATATATTGCTTTTTATAATAAAAATTATTATAAGTAACAAGCTGGGAGTGGTGGCACATGCCTTTAATCTCAGTGACTGAGAGGCCAAGGCTAGAGGATCACTTGAGCCCAAGAGTTCGAGGCTGCAGTGGACTGTGATCACATCACTGTACTCCAGCCTGGGTGACAACGCGAGGCTCTGTCTCAAGAACAACCACCCAAAAAAAGGTATATATTTGTAAATGTTTAGGGTTGTCTTCTTACTTTACTGGGTGTTTAGCATGGAAGGCAAAAGCATAGCTTTTGATCCAGCAGACCTAGAGTTGTGTCCTAGCTCTGTCACACTTTTTGACCTGGACAAGTTAATTTCTCTAAACCTCAGTTTCTTTAACTACAAAAACTTAGGATAATAAAAATAGTACCATTACCTAGTTTATAGGGCCATTATGATGATTAAAGGAAATAATTCATTTAAAGAACTGCAGCTCAGGACCTGACACATTAGGAAATACTCATTAAGTGGTGGTGCTAGATGTAGTAATAATAAATGAAGTTGTTGCTGAAGATGTTGAGAATTACTTAGTGTTTTACATTACAGATTAGGTCTGGTTGCATAGACTTTCAGTTCCATACGTATTTAATGTCAGTTTTTATACCTTTATAAAGTGGAGTAAGATCCAGTCAATATTTCTTCACTATTACAACCCAACTGGACTTGCTGATTGTTCTAGTTATGGAATCCTTATTCAAATCCACCTGTGTAAATTTGGTCCTGGCCTGGCCCTCCACTACCAGTATTCTATTACAGCAGCCTGCTTCCTTCACAGCTCTCATCACAACTTACAATTATTAATTTATTTCTTTCTTATTTATTATCAGTGTCCTCCATTAGGCTGTAAACCCAGTAGGGGTAGAAACTGTTTCTTATAGACCATAACTTCCCCAGTGTCAAGCTCAGTACTAAATATGATAGTTCCTCAGTAAGGATTTATTGAACTGATAAATTGTCACAGTTTGGGATGCCAGGCCTCATTCCTAGTGAGTGACATGTCTATGTTCATGAAAAACATGTACGAACATTTGGACTAGCATAGCACTTAAGTTACCATTACAACAAAAGTGGGTACTTAGGCTAAGTAAATTCCTTTTGCAGTACAGAAAACAGATCTTTTAATTCATGGTAAGTTCAAATTTCCTTCAGAAAGTTTTTGGTAAGCAAATATGACATTTCCAAGGATATCTAATTTGTGATAGTTTTCCTTTTGATAAGCAAAACTTTTTTTTCCAGCTAACACTTTTAAAAATCGTAAACTTTCAGTATATCAACACTATGGAATTATTTAAGCTATTTTATTTTTGACCTCTTTTTCTCAGGTTCACAGTTAATAGAAGAATCTCTATAGTCGGATTTGGCTTATATGGATCTATTCATGGTCCCACGGATTATCAAGTGAATATACAGGTAAACTTTTTTCCCCCACTGTGCATCATCTTGAACTATGACAAACATGTAATTTTATAATAAGATATTGTTTGGATAGAAATCCAAATTTCAGTGTAATTATCAAAGGAATCAGAAGGCCTATTCGTAGCATTGTAAACCTAGAGAACTGTTTTATACTTGATCTAAAAAAAAAATCTGGCAGAAAATTGGGGTCCTTTCTAAAATTGTTAGCATTCAAGGAGCTCTCCTTTGTCCGGAAACCTTTCTCTCAGTAATTCTTGCTGTGCACTGTCTTAAAACACTCTCTTGCTTTTTTCATGGTACTTTCAACTCTAGGGCCTTGAAAGTGTCAAATTTTTTGTTTTTTTTTGTTTTGTTTTGAGTTGGAGTCTCACTCTGTCGCCCAGACTGGAGTACAGTGGCCGCTCCCGGCCACCGCAGCCTTGCCTGCTGGGCTCCAGCGATCCTTCCACCTCAGCCTTCCGAGTAGCCGGAATTACAGGCATGCGCTACCACGCCCAGCTGATTTTTTGATCTATTGTAGAGATGAGGTCTCGCTGCCCAGGCAGGTCTCGAATCCGCGGGCTCAGGCAATCCACTCACCTCAGCCTCCCAAAGGCGCGGGATTACAGGCTGAGCCACCGAACCCGGCTAGTGTCAAATTTTTTGTAAGTAGTGTGAACACCTTGTGATTTCCAGGTGTGTAAGCAGACCCCGTCTCGTTCTTTAGTTCTGCTCCACTCATTTCTTTCAGATAGGGGGCACTAATACCTGATCTAGAAGAAATTTAGATGCCTCTACTTCCCTTCGTTATTCATAAACCAGTTTCTCTGCACTTTTGATTGCATACCCCAATTAGTAAAATTATTTTTGAATATGCATCAGTGTTGTATTTTTATTTATAAACTATATCTCTGCAATACTATATGTTTATATATAAATTAAAACATGAAAATATGAGAAAAGGAAGTAAAACAATGTTTCAGACGTTTTATCAACAGAAAAGACTGCCCTCTAAGATGTTATTGATAGATTATTTTTAATAATACAAACTTTGGTGAACTTTGTGATCAAAATGTGTTAGCTTTTAAAATGTTTTTTTATTTTGTGATAAAACATGTTCAAACACCTAGTTTAATGTCAGCTAAAAAAAGATACCTCATTACCTCACAAAGTTGATACCATACTTTGAATGGAAGAATTGCATTATTGGCTATACCAATGAAATCATTATACTTATTTTCTAATCCTATCCAATAATGTTTCTAGAGAAATTCAGCAGATAAATTTGCATCACTATGTTAGTTGCTGTTCTTATAAACCAATTAGAAAGTTACATTTTTAATAAATAAGTTATAAATCCCACAGAAATAGCTTATTTGAAAGATTTTTAAATAAGTTAGAGAATTTTATTGCCATGTTTAAGTGCAGAAAAACTTCAGCCAACCTCTGAAGGATATAAAAGATCTTCACAGTCTTCCCCCTTTGCACTTTGTATATTTGATTGTTAAGATTCTATTCAGTAGAACCCATGAACCCACTGAAGCAGGCTGGATGACCTGCAGGCCCAGGGCAGGAGCAAGGGCCCCACTGTCAGCCTCTGTGATTGTGGAACCTCACTCTCCCTTACGTCATGTATTACATGAAACACCAGACTCCTTGTGTACAAACTGAGGGAGGCATTAGGGTTACAGGAATATTAAAATGATGACATATAGATACTTGAGTAAAATAATAGAAACAGAAGTTTCTTTATTTTCTACCTGTAATAGCTAACCCCATGCCTGCTCCAGATACACTGCTGTAACCATTGATTCCTTTGTGTCAGAGGTAACAAACTCAAATGCCTACTAGGTACCAGGCAGGTAATTCCTAATGGAGAAAACAAGGCTCCTACACCAGTAGAAGACAGTAGGGACAGGAGGGAATTGGACCAAGGAACACTTATAGGGGCAGCCACGACTTAGCCCCTCTAATAGTTGCAGTGTGCTAACAAAGGTCCAAGGATGCCAGAGCTTCTGACTTTTCTAAGAAGCCAGAAGTCTGGATCTTCTCATGTTGTATTTTTAAGTATTGACCAGTAACTCAGAATCTTTAGAAACAACACCGTGAGGGTCATACAAAGCCAGTCTGAAGCTAATTCCTGATAGTTAACAGTTTACAACCTTTAACTTTGTAGTAAAGGCCCATTCCTGTGGAAAACGTCTTTAAATACCAGGTGTCTGCCAACTAGCAAATACAGTCCCTGACTCTTATACACTTGTAAGTTCAGTTCCACTGTCTATAAATTTCCTCTAAATCAGTACATTTTAAACAAGGGTATATATTAAAAGTACCTTGAGGGCTTTTTCATAATGCCCATCCTGGGTCCTTACCCCAAATATATGGAGTATAAAAATAAAAGTCTACTGTTTAAGTAGCAGGTGTGGGCATAATAGAGGTGGCATTTGTTGTGAAAATCAGTTGTCTTCATTTGCTTGTTTTGTGGAGAGCCACTTCGTACACCTAAAAGGAGAGTCAAGTACTTCGTAAACAGCTTTGGATTGATTTGGAGTATTAGATGAAAGTACCAAAGGGTCCTGTGTTATGTAATAGCAAGGAAGACGTGTTTGAGAACAGTAGTCAACCCACATCTGCTACCACTAGCTGTGTGGACCATTAAAGAAAGATGGTAGACTCCTGAGACTATAATAGTTACATCACTTAAGCACCTTATTCCATCTCAATTTCTCTAATATTCCCAAGGGACAGCAATATTGAGGACAGTGAGTCTGATAAGTGGATTTAAGATAATGGCTGAAAGTGGGTGTTGAAAATATATCCATATGCTAATAATAATACCATGTTACAATTGTTTAATGCTTTGGCATTTTCAGGGAATTTTCACTTACATTTTATAGGAGGTAAAATGGTTAAGTGAGAGTTCTCATGTTAAATATACTTGCCAGGGTTTGAATCTCAACTCTTGCCTACAAAGTGTGACTGAGCAAATTATGTAACTCCTCTAAGCTGCAGTTTCCATGTCTGCCATGACAGTTGTGGTACCTATTATGGTTTATGAGGATTGCTTGAGAGGATGCAAGTGTTTGGTACATAGTCAGTTGTGCTTTTTGTTGCTATTGTTTTATAATTTGATTCTCAAAACAATTTAGGACAAAGGCAAAGCAAAGTTTTTTACAAATTAAAAAATAAAACTGGCCAGGCACACTGGCTTACACTTGTAATCCCAGCACTTTGGGAGGCCGAGGTGGGAGGATTGCTTGAGCCCAGGAGTTTGAGAACAGCCTGGGCAACATAGTGAGACTTCACCTCTACAAAAAGTAAAAAATTATCCAGGCATGGTGGTGTGTGCCTGCAGTCTCAGCTGTTGGGAAGTCTGAGATGGGAAGATCACCTGAGCCTAGGAAGTTGAAGCTACAGTGAGTCGTGATCATGCTCCAGACTGGATGACAAAGTGAGACCCCAGTACAAAGAAAAAAAAGAAAGAAAGAAAAGAAAACAGATAAAACTGAAGCTGGGAGAAGTCAAGTAGCTTGCTCTAGTTGCTTGGTCACAACCAAATTCTGTGTCCTACAGGGATTTGGTTGTGACCAGGCCACCATCATGTCATGTCATTTTTTTTTAAGTTTTAGTATTTTATTGAACTGTGATATACACACAGAAAGGTGTACATATTTATGAGTTGTACATAGAGCTCATTTTTCACAAACTGAACACACCTGTGTAACCAGGGCCCGGGCAAGGAGCAGAACATGGCAGCATCCCTGGAGCCCCTCATGTCTTTAGTCTCTCCCCCTGCAGTGTCCACTCTTCTGACCTCTTACAGCATAGATGGCTCTTGCCTATTTCACTGTTCCTGTTTTTATCTAATGTATGCAAAAGGCAGGCTTGTGAGCATCTGGCTCTGCATGAGCTTTTCCCATGCAGGGAAGACATTTCACAACCTGGTAAGCTCTGACTTGAGCTTTCAAAACTCCTTCGGGAAGCTTCACACGTTCACCAGCTTTGCCTTGTTTGACCATTTGGTCTATGCATAGCTCTTGTAGTGCAGGTATGGACTGAATTGCCAGTTTATATATCTGTCTCTAATAACTAGAAGCTCCTAGAGGGTGTCCTTCAGTGCCTAGAACAGTGCTTGGCTCAAATTATGGAACTAAATTGATAAGACAGAATTGTTACATTGTGAATACTCACAAACCTGATACTACATTTACTTTTAGAAAATAACATTTAGACAGGAAATACTAAGGGAATTTCCTAGCAACAGCATGGGCTAGCAAGAAGTAAAGGCTCATTTCCGTCAGGTACCTAAAGCCACATGTTCCAGAAATCCACATGCCAAGCTGTGTGTCTTTTACAGAAGCTCCTCCCTCCCACAGTCGAGTCCCAGTTGTCTGACACCCTCCCATTCTTGCTGTGATGAGTGATAAACAGCCATTTTCTGACAGCATTCACAGCCGCCTTTGGTGGTAGAGGTAGGTAGGGAAAGTTAGGACACAGGTCTCCAGAGACTTCTTACTCCTTTTTTCCTGTACTTTTTTTGAGAGAGACTGTCGCCCAGGCTGGAGCGCAGTGGTGTAAGCATGGTTCACAAGAGCCTTGAACTCCTGGGTTTAGGTGGTCCTCCCACCTCAGCCTGCCAAAGTGCTAGGATTATAGATGTGAGCCATGTGCCCAGCCCATATTCTTTTTTATAGGACTTTGCTTCGTTTGGTTTAACTTACATGTAACTTGTCTTTTCAAAATTACAGATCATTGAGTATGAGAAAAAACAAACCCTGGGACAAAATGATACTGGATTTAGTTGTGATGGGACAGCTAACACATTCAGGGTCATGTTCAAAGAGCCCATAGAGATCCTGCCCAACGTGTGCTACACAGCGTGTGCAACACTCAAAGTAAGAGTCACTCACCGTGTTCCAGATGGTTTCCTCTTGCATGTTACAGAAAGCATGTTGTAGAAACAGAGTCACTGACAGTAGAGCCTTTGAGAAAGTCGGGGGGGGCTGGGAGCTGGAATATTTCACTGCTTTAAGAAAAAGACACGCTTCTCAGCATAGCTCTGTTCTGAAAGAATTAGCTCTTCCTAAAAGGTAGCCCTTTGAGTAGGAAAATGAATGTCTGACAGAAAATAAAATAATTATTTTCTTAAAAGCCTTTCACTGTTCAGTACTTTTACTTGTTAATTAGGTTTTTAAGAAAAACTTCATTTTTCACTAAATGTCTTAGCATAAAATTTCATACAGGAGCTATAGTGAAATATAATAGAATGTGAATCTAATTAACAATCACATTAAATTGAGTGTTTTTTAAAGGAAAATTACTAAGGAACCTTTTGTTCTCATTTAGGGTCCAGATTCCCACTATGGCACAAAAGGATTGAAGAAAGTAGTGCATGAGACACCTGCTGCAAGCAAGACGGTTTTTTTCTTTTTTAGTTCCCCTGGCAATAATAATGGCACTTCTATAGAAGATGGACAAATTCCAGAAATAATATTTTATACATAATTTAGCACTGTACTACACCTTGGCTAAACAACACCATACCATCTAGTGTCAAAAGCATAAATAACTGGTCACAAAAAATAGTTTTGAGTGCTAAGAATATTTATAATTGTAAGATAAGAAACATTTTAGTTTCTTAGAAGAGGTAGAAAAATGATTTAAATCTCTGCATGATTCAAAAGCAGATTTTTCATTTTCTTATAACCTTAGGGGAAAAGGAGTGGGTTTAGTTGTTTTTAAAAAGTACAGCTATTTCTGCTTCATCTTGTATAATTTCATAAATCAGCTGGCTCATGATCTTTCAATAGTTTTGGAGTTGAAAGATTCTTGTTATATATAGCTGGTTTGCTTTTTTGTTTTTGTTTTAACTTTTGAAGGTTAGATGAGTTTGGGAAATAGGCTGAACTGTTTTGAAGGTTAGATGAGATAAGATGGGTCAGTATTCCTACAGAATTCTTATTAACTCAAATAGCTAATTTCAGAAAATTAAGAAAACTGACTTTATATTTGGGTGTTTGAAATATCTGGTTGTTAGCATTGAGAATTCTGCTTTAAAAAAAAAAAGGCCTAGTAAAATGCCCAGGAAAATTTTCAATGCATTTACAGAAAAGGATATTCTGTAATAGTATAGTAATGTGTTACATAAGCTCAGTTTTAAAACTATAAGTGGAGTTGGTGTAAATTCACAATAATGTGACATAAACACGATCTAAAGGTCTAATTCAAGACTGGATTCTTTATCGCCCACCTGTACCACTGTATGTATCCGTCTGCATGGGGGATGTTGATGGTGGTTTCCAAGAGTGAGCTGGCGATGCTGATGACAACTAGGTAAACAGACGTCACTTCAACATTGAATAACCCTGCACAGCAAGAAACCAAACAACACTAACACTTCTGACAGCTATTCTGAAACTGTGAAGATATCCAGGAGAATACTCCTGTTGTGAAAAGTGTGCTTTCTGCCACTTACACGTTTCTATACAAGAAGTAAAATGTATCTCACATTCATGGCCTCATTAATGTCACTCGTACAGCTGTATTAGGAGATGGGAAGTATATCTGGCAGAATGACATTTATATACCTTTTTTATCAAGCAAATTTTGAAATAGAGATAACATTCATCTTTTTTTCCATAAAGAGATTCTCATAAAAAATTTTTTGAGTGTAATTAAGGTATATCAAATAGTTGTGGAAAATAATTAAAAATCAAAATTCCTTTAGGTATCAACTTAAAAAGAATTTTTTCTAAATAAAAATTAGGATATTAAAAAATGTCCTCTAAAGTAGTATTTCAGTTTGTATTTTCAAGAAAGTAGTGAGGTGCATTGGTGGCTGAGGTCTCTGTAAATTGCTAAAGGAAAGGGAAATTTTTCTATCTCTGGCAACGTCCTTATGGGTATAAACCTCAGTTAACTGGAATACCTGTGGAAAGTGTTGTTCTGGTTAACTAAAGATTAACCAGTAAACACTGTTGTAACCATTATATAAAATACTTCTGCCTTAAAAACGATGGTATGCCAGAGATAATTTAATGTTTCTTGCCATTTGAGGCATTTCAAATGCCTCAAGTGTGTTGTGCTGAACAACGATTGTAACTGGATGTAGCCATAGGAGGGACAAGAAACGAACTTGTTTACTAACATTGGGACATCCGCTGGAATTTTTTTAAAAATAAATATATCCTTTTATTTTTTTTCTTGTCATTTGTCTTTTTCTAAAAGTTGAATGAAAGTATTTTGGCACAAAATTTCTAGTTAATTGAGGTTTAACTTTGATTTAGAAATGTAATACAACACAAAACAAGCGTGCCTTGCTGCTGCCTTAAAGTAGTTCATAGCCGCCACAGTGCTAACAACTGCTGCTTCCATCTGTTTCTTGGTCACTTTTTTGTGGTCTCAGATTTTTCTCCCCTATTCTAGTGTCAGGAGATGGAGAATTAAGAATATGAGCGCATACAAGACATGATCTTGTTATTTACTTGTGTGTGGTGTGGCAGTCATCTCACAGTTATTTATGAGTCAGCTACATAAGCAATTACTGTGTCACAGGCTCTGCACTAAGTGCTTTACATACACTCTGTTAGTGTCTCAGCATCAGTATGAGGTAAGTGCTATTATAATATCCACAGGCAAATAAATTAATGTTTAAAAAGGTCAGTAAGTAGTGGGAGGTGGAATTTAAATCCATTTCTATCTCCCAAGCTACAGAGTTGAGAAAATATTTTGCTGGGTCCAAAAATAACATTTATATAATGCTGCCATTCTCAAGCTTTGCAGTAAGATCCAAAGGATACTTGAGTAATCTGTATTTAAAGTCATATTCCAATATCTACTCAACAAATTGAGAATGATTATTTGCATTATCAGAGTATTCTTTCTTTTAGATCCACATAAATAGCTCCTAAAGTTTTAAAAAATATGGTCTTCACATGCAGTATGTTAAAGGCAATATGTCCAAAACTTACTGTTTCACTTCCCTTTTTAGTGCCTTCTTCAAACCACTTTGTATTTCCCTATTCTAGTCATCCAGATTCAAAGCCTCGAATTGTCCCCAAATTGAACAAGACACATCCCTCAATCCATAGTGATCCCAGCCCTAGTCACGAGCCCCAGAGCTACAAAGGTTTGTTTACTCACACACACCTCATTTATATACTTTTTAAAATCCCTTTTCCTTTTTCTCCTGGAAAAGCTAAGATAAGATGGAGTTTTTTAAATGGAACTCTACTTAAAACTGAAGGAAGGTAAAAATAAAATTGGGCCTTTAGCACTGGCTACTCAGGAGGCTGAAGTGGGAGGATCACTTGAGCCCAGGAGTTTGAGACCAGCCTGGGCAACATAGCGAGACAGAGTTTCTGAAAAATAAAATGGAACCATTGTCAGTCAACATTTGCAATAGACTTCCTGCCATTTGGATCATAGCCCTCGTTTTTTCCTCACCTTTAGCCAATGTTTCTTCCCACTCTGCTGCTTCCCTTTCCTCTCACATGCACAGTTTTGATGGAAAATGGGGCTATGGCTTCTCTCCTGGCTGGTGTGATGACATCCTCAAACCCCTCACTCCTGAGTCACCAGTGGGAAGGGCTGGCTGGCTCTCTGCAGGGCACCTCTCCCCTCTCCTCATCCCTCTAGACACCTGTCAGATACCATTAATGACTTGCCTTCACAGTGTCTCACCTGTTTATTTCCACTACAACTGTCAAAACTCTAATTGAAGCTGCTGTGACTTCACCCAAAACAAATTCTATGAACAACTGCTATGTGACACTGGTTCCACTTTTGTGCTTTAATTCTTAACTGATTTCAAAGAAAATACGGTTTTAGTTTAACACCTGGCTCACTTTCTTCTGCTCAAGTCTTCATCCTGAGTGGCCTCAGTGTCCCGCGGATGACCCATCCAAACCTAGGAAGAAACTAAGTTTCCAGTTTCTTCCTTTTCTCCTGCAACCTGCACCATTCCTTCTCATGACCACACCATGTACCCTGTTGTGTGAAGTTGCTCTCCCTCTAAAATAGTAAATTCTGACATCCCACTCTGACCACAACCCTTGATGCTTCTGCCAGCTCTCATTTGCATTCCAGTTCCACCTGTTACTGAACCTGAAGACTGCAGCCCCTTTGCCCTCTCTTGTCTTTCTTCTTCCTTCCCTATCCAGTTAGGCTCGCTATCTTTGATCATTTTCTCTCCTTCCCCACTTTTTACCTGTCATTTTAGTCACTTTGTCAACAACCCTCAGCCCATTGGTATACACCTGGATCAACACAGTTGTCTGTCTTCAACTTCCTAGCTGCTAAAAGTGCATAAAACGATGTAACTATAGATTGGGACTATGATGATTTCCGGTCTCCTTTAACTGTCAATACAGCTGGATGAGTTGAAATAGTCCAATCTTTGCCGTCTTCCAGAGTCCCTATGTAAATCGGTTCCACTATGCTCACACCTTCAACACCTCATCTTTTAGTTAATGAAAGAAACTCCAGCTCCTGTCACCAAACCTATAAACGCACCTACATGTACACCTAAGCTTTCCCTACTCCTAGGAAGGAAGGCTCCTGTAGTGAGGGTTGGTCTCTCCGCTGTGCTCAGGCCCCACCTGAGGAACTGCCCTCTAGAGACCTCTCCTCTCCTGGTTTCTTCCTACCAACCTTCAAATATGGCTCACGCTAATCCAGTTTAAGAAAAGTCGGCCATATGCCCTTCCAGATGCCAGTTGCTCCTTCACAGTGAAGTCACTGAATTATCCTCACCTTTGTTCTCTCCACTGAAACTGCTCCAGCCTGGGTCACCAACAGCGCTCTTATTTCTAACTCCTGTGAACACTCCTCAGTCTTTATTTCACCTGTTCTCTGTGTGGCATTCATCACTGTTGACTACTCCCTCTTGAAGCACCCTCCTTTAGCTGCCATTACACTGCTCCTACCTCTGCACAATGTAAGGTCTCTGCCTGCCCTTCGGTTCTGTCCTGAACCCTTGTGCTCTGCACTCTGTGATTCTTTCCTCTCATCCACTTCCATGGCTTCAGTTGCCATCGATTTACAGAGGACTCTATACTCCGTAACACCAACCCTCATCTCTCAAGCTTCAGTTACATATATTCAGTCACCCCTTAATATTTGTACCTGGGGGTCCCACAGACATCTTATGCACAACAGTCTCAAACAGAACTCGCCTCAGACTCCCAAACCTGCTCCTCAGGCCCCAGACACGGGCAAGCCTGGGCGTTTCCTTGACTCTTCCCTCTCATTCCCTCACCCAGTCATTCCCAAGTTCTGATCATCCAGTTGCTGAATATTCATGAGATGATCAGTTCCCCATCCATACTGCTGTTACTCCAGATGAGGCCATCTCCCATGTAGGCGGCAGGCAGATCGCCCTACCTCTGCCTGTTCCTCTCTTGGCCACAGAGTAGCCGGTGGTCTTTCTAAAACACAACAAACTGGACTGCCGATCCCTAGCCTCAGACCCTTCCATGACTCCCTGACTTCTTCAGTTTCACGTGTGACCGTATCACATGTCGCCGTTTATTTTCTCTTTTGCGTGGTGGGAGCCTCTGCCCCTGATACGAGGTAGGTGCGTCAATACATGGAAGGAACCCAAGGGTCAGGCCAGCACGAGGCTCTGTATTGACTTGTGGGCCGCAGGAGGCAGCGAGGGACTCTGAACCTGCGGGTTGGCTCCTGTGAGAGAAGACACCTGGCCCTTTGCAGTCCTTGTCGCTCACTCCAGTCCTGAGAAGTGACAGTGCCCTCCCGCTCTCCCTCCCCCATTAGGAAAGAAGACCACAAGCGACACACTCTCCCACGAGCTGAGAGGGGTGGGTCACGACACCATCAGGACCCGCTCCCCAGCTCCGTCTTCTGGGTCCCTTTCCAGTACAAGAGAGGCCCGCGCGGGTTCTGGATGCGCGAACTCGCTCCCGCCAGCCGCAAGGTGTCGCCCTCGGGCCGGGGCTCATGAGAGGGGCGGCGGGGCCGCTCCCGCCCGCGGCGTGCG